TACCAAGTTTCCTTCAGAAACTTTTCCGAAAGTGGACTTTGTAACAATATAAACCTTTGTCTAAGAAAAAAAATATAGATTTGCCTACGTTAGATAAAATTAGAAGTCTCGTGGAACGAGGTATACTTAAAAAAATATACAGTGCGACTGGCTGTAGACAATATTTTATAGCAAAACATTGAAATTTGGATTTCGTAGCATCTTCTATGAAAAATAAAAGTACTTGAGATTAATAAAAAAATATTGTATCAGATAATGTTACATGTAGGTATTATAGATTTAAATCTCAGGTTTCCAACGTTATAAATAAAATTTTGCAAAATTGAATAATCTGCTGACACTTAAATAATGTAAAAGTAATTAAAATCTATTAAATATTGTCAGAGAACGTTACATAAATTAATTGTAAACCATATTTTTAATTTTATAAATAAATTTTTGCAAAATAGATTGGTCTGCTGATATTTAAATGATATGAAAGTATTTAGGGATTATCAAATATTCTCAGAATATATCAAAGAATATTACATACATTAGTTTTAAATCAGATTTTCGATTTTACAAATAAATTTGCGCAAAATAAAATATATACTGCTTGTTAATAAAATCTGTACTGCTAATATTTAAACAATTATTGAATTTTCTAAAAAAGTTAGTATATCCGTATGCGTTGATATACAATAAAATTTTTCGAATAAACTGTACACGTTAAAAAATAGTTTTACGAGAGAAGACTTCCGTCTCTCTCTTTCTCCCTTTCTCTCTGTACACATTAATCGCGTAATTTTGCTCACTTTTCGCACAGGCGACAAATTTTATTTAGCCCTGGATGCAAAAACACTCAAAGATATATGTATAGATGACGGCAGACGCGAACACGTAAAGCCAAAGGTGGACAGCAAAGTCTGGTGGAGATGCACGTCATTGGATGAAAAAAAAAAATAATAATAGCCACGTTTCGTCGCTATATGGCACGAGTCAATAGACAGTCCGAATAAAAGTGCTCTGTTCAATCGGCTCTATTACCCTGTACTTTTCAATAAACAATCGTAACGTGCATCACACCCGTATTGTAGACAATAGACAATTCAACATTCCCGCGCGCCGGATACACGATGTGTGCCTGATGTTCGAATGCAGTTAAATAAAATTCGCCCTGCATTTGTGACACAGACAACTATTCGCGAAGCTGTTTCTCATATTTGTCCAAGACTTTATGCGCATAATTATATTATTAGAATGCACGCTATTTTATTATATTGAGCAAATAATTCACTTGCCACAACACTTTGTCATTATTTTAATTAAATGTATAATCTATACGTTATTGTTTAGTTTTAATTGCAAATAATTTGGGAATTCGTTGAATTAATTATCATTAAATGCATTGATAAATATGTGTGTTTTGCATCATACAAACGATCGTCAACAATTGATCGTTTACATTTGTTTATCGGCACGCAATGCCCGACTTCACTCTTTCGACTTCGACTAATTGGAATATATTATCATTTTGGGAATAACGTTAGTATACATCTTTCCCCTGCGCGGAATTACGCATCGCGTTTAACAATTTACAAAATTAATTCCTAATATTTTCCTTCTTTGTGTATGTGACACCGATAGTTCGCAGGTAACTAAGATCACGTCATGTTCCGCTTTTCCGCCCCACGGATATTGTTAATAAAACCCTTAAAATATTATGCGGTGTCGACGCGCCTTCCTCTCTCTCCCTCTCTCTATCTCTCTGCACGCGTGGTGCAGACCACGGAATAAGCACACATTATTGCACCGTGCACTTACGGTCTCGGAGTAATTGCGGGGCCCCTCTGTGTGCAGCACGGCCACACGAATGCTTTTCGCCGCTAATGAAAAGCGCTGAGCGCAAAGGCGTGTGTCGTACGGGGGAAGACCGGAGCCGGGGGAAAAGCGTCGATGCCTTGAGAGCGCCCGTACGACACACAAAGTACGAGAAATCGAAGCTCAAAGCGAGAGGCTCGAGTGGAAACGACCTAAAAATCGAACCGACCTAATCCGACCGCCGCCGTGCGCGATCGCGGAGGATCAAAAGGGCCGGTCATCGTTTCACGTTGCCATGCGAATTCTCTCATTTCACTTGTCAAATCCGGCCGCGCGGTTGTCAAGCCATTGATTACAACAGATCAAATTGATTTGTATACCGACAATGAAACGCACATAGTGTTAATTATTAGGGTGGTGCATCGTAAAATTGAGATATTGTGTTTTTAAACAATTTTGTTATTAATCGGCTGATTATTAAAAAAGGCAAACTGTTTTAACTATTTTTGCAATCATTAAACCAAAGGCCAAATTTGATTTGAAAATGTCTTTTATGTAGATAATTTAATGCCGCGTAATTTAAATGTTGGCTTACGTCTATCGTGGATCCTTCTTTTATAATTGAATAGCGGATTTTCATATTTTCTATTAAAATAGAGAGATGTCTTCAAATATACATTAAGGAAGGAAAATCCCTCTCTCATCCTGATCAAATAATTTCCGGAATACAGTCTTGCAAAGACTTATTTAGAATGCTCTTCTCTAAGACAGTAGCCAAGGAAACGTATACTTACCTTGGAAATAATCTTCATCTTTTATGCGAGCCTTCGCATCTTTGCTCTTATATTACCGTTAAACTTACGGCAAAACCATATTGGTGATTAATATGAGGAAAATTAGTGTGCTCTCAATTTTAGAAATTACAAAGTATTCCTTCATAATAACTTACTTATATTACTTTCAATTAATCTGACAAGTAGGTATGTATACCTGACGTCTTAAATTCTCAAGATATGTTCTATAAAGTAACAAATTGTCATTGTTTGAAAAAAATTAAAAAAGTATCTTTATTATATTGTTTGGAAAAAAATTGAAAAGATCTTATGATATGTATGCACAATTAAAAATTATTATTTAAATAATACGAGATGTTTTATTAATGAAACTACAAATTGTTATGTTGAAATAAATTTTGTAATAATATTGCCACGTCGAAGAATTATACGTTGCTATTGTCGTTCGATCGATGCATTTTTCGGTAACTGCCACTTAAAAAGTGAAAAGCGAAGAATAAAAAACTTTTAACGTGGAGCCCTAGTTAATCGGGTCTCTGCCGTAATCGGCTTAATTGCCAAGGAGTTTGCAGGCAGGCTTTACGAGGTACGGTCTCGACTTGAACTAGAAGTACCTACTTTACAGAGAAAGTCGCCTGTGTATCGGTGTTTCCAAATGTCACAGAAAGAACGAAACACGTAGGCTAAAATGCAATCAGACTTCGAGAGATAAAGTTACATATATTTTTCTCCGTATTTACTCTCTTTCATTCAAATTGGAATTTTTTAAATATATTGTATTGCAAAATTCTATTTTTATTCTTTATTTTCTATTTATAAATAAATCTGTGTTCTCCCCGTAAAAAATGTGTCATGTTCAATATTAAAAAAAAAAAGAAGCAGAGATGTGTACGACAACAGAAGATATATGGAGTATCGAGTAAAACTCCTATAGTTTTCATGCATGCGTTACCGCGCGTTGCAGTGTGCGCGGTCAAACGCACAACGCGTAAGCGCACAATTGCGTTTTCATGCGCACGTTGTACAAATCTGACAGCTCAGGTTTAACTATTTATATAAGTACATAATTGTAATATTTAGATTATAATAAAGGTTTGCGAGGATGATTTAAGATTTTTCACATAATAGTTTATAATTATATATAAATCATATCATAATAGTTTATAATTTATATATAAATTTATAGAGTTTATAATAATAATAGCTTATAATAATAACACACAGTAATACTGTATAATTTGTACAGCTATTCACTGTTTACACAAAAATTATTAATGTTATTGCTTATTGATACTTTCTTCATTTATAATTTCAATGATAAATTTGACAAACTGTCATGCGTACTTATATATGTAAACTGTTTTATGCGTGTTTTATGTATTTTTTGCATTTTAATGTGCATGGAAACTAAAAATGATGAAAAATACATTGTGGCGATTGCATCGCACAGCCCAGAGTTGCAATTGTAAAATAATTAAAAAAAAGTAAAATACAAAGTGAAATAATTAAAAGAAAAAGCAATATAATAATCTAGCCTGACAAGACATACACACACATACACATACACGTATATACATGTTAACAAAACAAGCAGATCGGTTAGCTCAAGGTCCCCACTTGCTAAACATTAAAGTTCCATTACTGAGAACATAATTCAATTTTTAATAACAGTAACTCCTTTGTCTTTTCGACACTCATCGAGGTAATAATAGTCGGCGAGCTCGCGTGAAAAAATCGCGTGACTATTTTATCAAAACTAGTTTTTTGATATTTGGTTACATTTAGAATAAAAATCAAAATCCTGTAGTCAGCAAGTCAGATATTAGAAAACCTGGCGCCGGCACTCTTTCAAAAACGTCGAAAAAAGTGTCGCGTAAGCATTTTATAAAAGCTGAAAATGTATGTACGAATAATTTATGCAACAAAATGTAGAAATATAGTGGTCAGATTATTAGTTAGAATAGCCCATCGTCTGAACTTGTCGCGTCAGCACTACCTTAAAGATGCAAAAGAAATCACTTCAACGTATTTCATAAAATCTGAAATTTGGTACTAAATTATCTAATACTATATACGAAAAAAACAGTCAGACGGCTTTTCGACGGGACTAACACCTCGTCAGACGCGATCGAACAATATTATACGCGCGCGATCCGTGGCTGCGCGGACTTGCACTACTCTCCATCCTGAATTTCTGTTGTACAACTTTTATATGTAATAAAATAGTATTAATTTAAAAACATTATTTTTCGAAAATTAAAAGTGAGAAAAAAAAATACAGGGTGTTCCAGAATTTCTATTACATGCACTTCTAGAGGGGACTTAGTAGATAAAGTTTTACATAGGAACCTATCCGGAAACGGTCCGTTTGTTACAAGGAAAACAAGAGCCACTCACGTTTTTAAGTCTCGTGCTTCACCCATGTCAACAAGCTCTTTTGTGTCCCGTACATTACGTAACTGCTCGTTTGATTGGACCGTACATCCTTCCTCCCCGCCTAACAGGTCCCAGGTACTTGATATTCCTGCAAGAAGTACTGGAGTTCTTGGAAGATGTGCGATTGGACATTTGGAAAGAAATGTGGTTCCAACATGATGGCGCGCCAGCACATTTTGAAGTTCGCGTTCGAAACCCATCTCAACGCAGAGTATTCGGAGTAAGCTGGTGGATCGATCGAGGTGGACCACATGCTTGGCCACAAAGATCCCCGGATTTGACTTCTTTAGACTTTTTCTTGAGGGACTACATGAAGAGTCCGGACATAGAAGAGCTTGTTGACATGGATGAAGCACGATACGTAAAAACGTGAGTGGCTCTTGTTTTTCTTGTAACATGGAAACGGACCGTTTTCGGACATAAGTTCCTTATTATAAAACCGTATTATAAAACTTTATCTAGTAAGTTTTTTCTAATCTCTAGAAGTGTGTAATAGGAATTCTGGAACATCCTGTATATATACAGGGTGGACCATTTTAATCCATCCAGTCGAATATCTCGAAAATCAAGCCCGGAACAGAAAAATTTTTCAGACAAAAG